CGCTTCCGATTCCCGCGAGGATATGGCAATCAACTAAGCGTTTCAGTGCCGGACACTCCACTGGAAAAGGGCTACGGTGCACCCGTGAGTATTTTGTTCCTTCTGGAAAATTTATTTCCTGGAGAATGCTACCACTACAATTTGTGTAAAATGAACGCCTAGACGATTCCCTAGCTGAAGCACGAGTTAGGCGGTTTTGTCATGATTCTATAAAAAATTTGGTAGGAAATGCGCTATTGCAAAAAATAAACGAAAAAAATCCAAATCGCGCTTGCCTTGTTATTTCTTTGAACAATGAAGGCGAGTACTGTAACTCTCCGTTTTCTCTTGAGGCTTCTGCGGTGCGTAGCATTCGCACACTATTTTGTGATGAAATATGAAGCCAGAACAATAACAGCGTCTTTGCAGTTCTTTCTGCTGCCCTCAGCTGGACATCCGATCGTCTCGTCGTCACTGTCCAGCCCAATATCATCTACAGAATCCTTTCGACTCGCCGCATCACCTTCCTATGTAGGACTGTCGCCAACGCCACGAACTGATGGTGGTTCAACGTCAGATCTGCAAAAGTCGCCTGGATCACTGTCTTCGGAAACACAGGGTGACGATGACGATAAAAAGCAGTACTACTGTACCATCTGCAAGAAAGACTTCAAGCGCCCAGACATACTTTCAAGGTAGTTTATAACTGGATAGTGGAAGTTGTCCATCGCTATAGAAGCCTAATAATATAATAATATTACCAGTTTCGAGAGATGCATGGAGTTTGCACCCCTTTTAGGACAAAATTTGCGTCGAGACTGCTACGGAAACCAAGTTTCATGTTCTTTGTTCAACAATTCATTGAGCACCCGTAGTACTCTGGTATCTTTCCTCCCACTCGTTTCCTCAGTGTTTTTTGCCTCCTAAAAGCAAGTTGTTTTGAATGACCATAATGAGCGTCCAATCTAAAAGTGCTCGCAAAATGTCTGATCCCTACGAAATGTGTTCTGCTCTCGAAGGCATTCATGTGACTCCTGATAACCCCATACGCCACCTACCCTTCTTATCGCATTACCATTGTGATCACATGCGCGAGCGTTTGCTCGGAATTCGCCTAGGCCACTCCCTCCCACCAGGGACCAATTTGGAATACCTCCTTCTGACAGAGGAACCTAGAACTTTAATGGATGAATATTTAGTCAAGACGAAGATGACTCGAGCATTGTTACATCACTCTTGAGAAATGGTGTCCATCTTTGCTAAGGTGTTTTTCACTCATCCTGGAGTTGGAGAAAATTTTCAAAATACGACTCCCCCCCCCCTTGAAAATGCCTCCTCAGATGCGATCCTCCGCCCGTGCCGTCTTCGTCAATTTTTCCACTTTTCTGGAACTTCCCCTGGGTTCTTTCCCGAAAAACCAAAGAAGTTGCAGCGGTGGGGATGGGGGGGGGGGGGGGGCGAGGGAGAGGACGAGGGGAAAGTCAGCAACATAAAAACATTTTACTTAAGGCAGTTACTATCCTTGCTTCTTCAGCGGCCAGAAACATGCCCCTTCCCAACCCCCCCCTTTGCTGAGGCGGACCTAATGTTCGAAGTGCACTGATCCCAGCGTCTCCTAGATTCGATTGATCACTTCCACAGTCGAAGCAGAAAATACCACTTTCTCGACAAGGAAGTCAACCAACCTTGATAGCAAAAGCCCTGAAGGTCTAGAATCATTTCTCGACTCCTTCGCGAATAGTGGGGATACACCAACTTTATACTGATGGTTCGGGCCTGTGAAAGTATGTCTACTCACAACTATGCCTGCTACAAATCATGGGAGGAAAGGAAGGCATGCTAGGCTGGGCTGACCGCGTGGAAGCTGAAGAGCGCAAAATCCTTATCGTGCGTATTCTGCCGTCTCCTGGACGGGCGAGAGGAGGCTGATTTAGAAGAAGAGCGAATCAGCCGCACATTTTTCTCCGCGAAACATAGGTGCAGGCGGCGCTCCCAGCTGAAAGTCTGATCAATGTCAAAGTAACAGCATTTATTTGCCCACCTGCCTTATCAACCTTTATACGACCCAAGTTTTCCGCTGCTGTTGCGTGTAAAATTTACAATCGCTTGCGCTTTCTGGAAAATCAAAAAGGGCACGACGGAAGGGGTGCCTGTAGCGGAATGTGATGCCTCCAGGTCTATACTACATTCGCTAGGCCTGTGCTAAGCGTCTGAATAAATAACAAGCAATTATATGAAAAATGCCAAGAACATTTTAGACATCTACGGCGGCATACTGGTGAGAAACCTTTCGGTTGTGATTCTTGTGGGCGATATTTCTCGCGTTCCGACCACCTACGAACGCATCGACGGACACACACAGATGAAAAACCTTACCAGTGTACGATCTGCTCGTACGCAGCTGTGAGTTGCATTTTCATTTGAATGTTTCCGGCGCCATCGTGAATCACTGGAATAAATGAGTATTTCATTCTTGCTAGAGACGTCGCCGACGCTGCTCACAAAGGGCATTACTGAGCCACTCGTTCATCAGCCAAAGCCGCGTTCTCGTCAATTTTCCAGAAACATCGCTGACATAAGAAGGTTATACATCTTGACATCTAGCGTCTGGCATTCATCAGCTGCACTGGCGCACGATCTTTATGCCACAAGAGTTATTAGCAGGGACCAGAGCCCAACATTGGTGGTCTTATAGCGAATAAACAAAGAAAACATGACAGGATGACTTAGGTGGGGGAATTCAAAAACAGACTATACTCACCTCCGAGGGCGCTTCTCTCGGTGTGCGAAGTGTGTGGGTCCGCAGCGGCAATAGCGTGCCACGTTCTCCGCTAAGCATTGCACGGGGACGGGGCTGGAGGGTGGTGATACCCTGAAGTGTCTCCGTACTTCCCCCCGTGCTATCCTCATTGTGCAGCACAGCAAAATACTCAGTGAACGCTCTTAAAGACAATTTCCGCGATCAAGTGTAACAGGCATCAGTCATGGAAGCCACCAATAACTCATCAGTAGAGAAAGAAGCGGAAAAAAAGTTTGGGAAGCACCCTGAGCACAGACCTCTCTAGCAGCAGAGCCGCTCCTTGGACGAGTTCACCATGAGGACAAGCCCAATCAGAAGGATTCTAGGTGGAAGCAATTCCCGTCGGGAACATAGAATTCGCCCTACGAAGCTCCAGGCAACGCTATATACATAGTCTACATACAGAATTACAATTAATTACAAACAATTAGAATTACATACATACGTACTTCTGATATATTTCTCTGCGAGAGCGGGCAACGAAGCCCAATACACGGAGGCATTTCGCTGATCACTCAATTGCTGGAAGTGTCTTTAAGGGATATATCGCAAGACAAGCAGCGCGCCCGACTGTGGTTGGGCGTGTGGCAGGCCGGGCGAAGTATAGAGGCAGCACTTGTGTCACCTTAATTCCTGTTCCCGTGCTTCTTTCACCGAAGAAAGTGGTATGCTACTGCAGCTACAGACCCACTATCCCCACAGCAGTGGGGCATTTGTATAGAGACCGGGACGCAGGCATTAATAGTGGGTAAATCAACCGTCTAAAGCCAATGTGGAGGAAGCAGCTGAAAAATCTGATTTAGCGCACTGGGCAGGATGGCTAGGGGCAGGCGGTTACGTGCAACGTCATTGGTAGAAGGGCTGATTGGGGTGTGGCCAAACGTCCTCTCGCAGTCCTTCCACCAATGACGTTGGCAGTAACGCCCGCCCTCAGCCAACGTGTCCATTGCCTCTAAGTAACACCAACGACATTGGGTTGGTATTACCTATTCAGTTCGTTCAGCTGCTTGCTCACCCATGGATATCGTTGGAATTAGGGAAATGACCAAGATTCGTGAAATGCCTTTTTTCAGATGCCTCAGCGACGGCGATCATTCACTGACTTCTTCAGTTGCTTCTGGAGAGCCCAGCACACCGAAAAGAATACGTCACACAACAGACATATCGCCAGTTCGTGAACACCCAGAACAGCGAGATCGAACTCTGACAGAGGTTTGCGCAAAAATCGTCCAATTCTGTGGTTTCACCCTAAGAAGAAGTCGCCTGGCTATATTCACGTC